TTCACTAAATAGATAATTGAATAAATGTGTACAATATGTTTTCTTTACAAAAACAGTATCACAACTTGTAATATTTTACACAGTTTAATATTGAATGTTGATGATGAAGATTGTTTGCATCTTTACTGACTTTTCACGTTTGGTGCGTAGTTGTTCATTCAACGTAATTCTTCTTTATGTGTGCTTTATATATTCCATGTAATAGTGACATGAGAAGATACTTTTGGTATGTCCATAACGTGAGTTAATGACTTTCCAAACCAAAAGATCTTTGTCTGCTTGTAGCCGTTACTCATGATATTGCATTGAGAGTTTGTAACGCTTCAGAGCTTCTCACATCAGAGGATGGATGTTACCGTTGAGAGTCCTTTACAGCTTCTATCAGAACTTTGCAGATCAGAATATCAGAGGTCCTATTTCAGCGCTGGTGCACTCAGAAGTTGTAACAGAACTTCTTCATATAAGCGTGTCACACAGATCTGATCCGTCTGAGTCTTTCATGGTACCCTCAACTTCTGTGCCCGCATCATCAGAATTTCTAGTGATGTTCTCGCAGAACTTCCAGTTGCATCAGAATATCTTTTTCACATCAGAACTTTCTGCATGTAAAGACACTTTTATTAGCGAGCATTATATCATGTGTTTGTTATCATCAAAACTCTTACTAGGATGTAAAACCAGATTATGTTCTAACACTGGTGTCCGAGGTTCTGAAATTCAAATTCAGAGGCAACAAAGAGTCAGAAACATCCCAAGAAGATTTGCAAAGTTTGACATGTTACAAGACACTGAAGTAGACTCTGAAGGAGAAGTTATTCAGTGTGTAATATTAGTAGACTATGAACCCGTGAGTACGGGAGAGGCTCTTAAGCAGTAATTATGGTTGCAGGCCATGAAAGAAGAAATTGATGCTATAGAGAGAAACAAGACTTGGAACTTGACAAAACTTCCAAAAGGCAAGAAAGCCATCAGTGTAAGATGGGTTTTCAAGGAGAATCTAAAGCCAGATGGATCAATTGGAAATCACAAAGCCAGATTAGTAGCAAGAGGCTTTCTACAGAAGCCTGTGCTGGATTACTCTAAAGTGTTTGCACTTGTAACGAGACTTGAAACAATCAGACTAGTGATTGCAATAGTTTCTAACAGGAATTGACCTCTGATGCATTTAGATGTAAAATATGCATTTATGAATGGTCCATTACAAGAAGAGTATACGTGTCACAACCTCTTGGGTTTGAGAAAAAGAATCAGGAAGAGACGGTGTTGAAATTACAGAAAGCCTTGTATCGATTGAAGCAAGCGCCCAGAGCCTGGAATCTGAAAATTGATTCATTTTTCAAGGGACAAGGGTTTAAGAAGTGTGAGATGGAGTATGGTGTTTATGTTCAGCATACTTCAAAAGGTAATATGATTCTGGTATGTTTGTATGTTGATGACATATTGCTCACAAGAAGTCTTGAAGAAGAGATATTTGAGTTCAAGAAGGTTCTGATGAATGATTTTGAGATCACAGATCCTGGGAAAATGAGTTTCTTTCTAGGGGTAAAGTTTATGCACTCTGAGAAAGAAATCATTTTGCATCAGATGAAGTATGAAGTTGAGCTTCTAAAGAGATTTAAGCTAGAGAATTGCAAAATTATTATAACACCTGCTGATACGAATCAAAAATTGGACTCTGATTCTGATGGAGAGGATGTGGATGCTACAACCTTCAAACAGTTGGTTAGTTCTCTGAGGTATTTATGTAATACCAGACCTGATATTTGCTATGCAGTTAGAATGATTAGCAGATTTATGAGTAAACCAAAGTGGTCTCATTAGTAAGTTGCTGTCAGGATCCTGAGGTATGTGAAGGGAACTCTGAAGTATGTAGTGTTATTTCCTTCTAGAGGAAAGATCGAATCAGAACTTCTGAGTTATTCAGACTCTGGTTAGTATGGAGACAGAGTTGACAGAAGAAGTACTTCTGGATACTTATTCAAATTTCTGAGAGGTCCTATTTCTTGGTGTTCCAAGAAGCAACATGTTGTTGCGCTGTCAACCTGTAAAGTTGAATATATTGCAGGAGCTCTGACTACATGCCAAGTTGTGTGGATTCTGAACTTGCTGAAGATCTGAAGATTGAGGTAGACAAACCTCTGAAGCTGATGATTGATAACAAGTCTGCAATCAATCTTGCCAAGAACCCAGTGTTGCATGGGAGAAGCAAACATATTAAGACCAGGTATCACTTTCTGAGAAATCAAGTTCAGAGTGGAATATTAGAACTTGTGCACTGTAGCACCCAGAAGCAGCTGGCAGATGTTCTAACAAAGGCTATCAAGACTGTTCAATTTCTTCGTTTGAGGGATGAAATTGATGTTGTCAGTTTTGTGTAAATATAAATTAAGGGATAATGTTGGAAATAATTTATATTTTAGGAATATCTAAGAATATCTTTTTATATCTTTGTTGGAGGGTATTTGAGTATATTATTATATTTTAATTTTGTATATAAATAGCCATGTAGTAGATATGTCAATGTAATTCATTATTCCTTATTTTATAGCCGTCATTCAATATATTTTTTTTTGTCTTTCATCTCTCTTTTGTGCACCAACAATTATATGTCATTATTTATGTTTATGTTAGAAATATAACTCTAATGTTAAACTTACTATATCTAAGAATTGGTAAGTTAGGGAGGACAAATTAAAAGAGATAAGAATAGAATTGTTCTCTCTGGAACCAATTTTAGATAGGTGGAGATATAAATGGAGAAGAGATAGAGTAAAATTGTGTGTGGAAAAATACGATTGTTTTGTTTTCTGTCTTTTCAAAGAGTAGTTATACATGTAGTTTGTCTTTTGCTTTGTTTTTAATTCAAGTATCAAAAGTTGAGATCTAGAGGACCACTTTCTTATGAATATAATTAGTATGAATATAATTAGTATGACTATAATTTATCTATAAAAAAAATATAACCATTCTCTTTATAGAAGAATGGAATTTTAATAACTTTTCTTTAATTTTTTAATTTAATTTATTTTATTAGTAGCATCGAATTAATTCAAAATAAATGAATGTTATTTAATAGTCCAATTTTTCTCTCTCTGTCTTTCACTTAAATATTTATATTGTTTTATATTATGTTCTTTTTTTTTTAATACAATAAGGTGTAATACATTTTTTTATTGGTTTTTGTTAACGAGTGCAAAAAAGAATTATCAATAAAAAAATTTTAAATTTTTTTTACTTAATTTTAATATATTGGATACATAAATTTTCATAAAATCTTATTATTTTATATCTATAAAAAGTCTCTTGCGCTCTATATTTTAATATATTTTGTTGCATATAGTCCACACTTGAATTCACTTTCGATTTATATACTATTCCAATGTGTTAAGTTGGCCTGCTCTATATCAATTATAATATCAAGTAATTCTGCCATGGTAACATTTCCAAAATTAACTCCAAGATTTTCCAGTATTATGCTTTTGTTGATTGTCATAACTCTAGTGTAAATCTTGTTCTTTCTTTGATTGATTACATGACCTGAAATATCTCCATAGTCTTGGGAGATCTTTATCATATTTTTTATGGTGGCTAAAGTCCCTTGGCAGAAGGTCATGATATCATTGGCATATAAGACATCAATAAGTATTATGGAGAGATGGTTTTAGGTTCTATATTGGCCAGTCTGTCAGCCAATATCTTTGATTATTTGCAATACCATCAACACAATGATTTCCTTCACGATATATGTGAGAGATAATAAAAATTGTAACACCCTATTTTATATATAGGATATTTTATCGTATTTTATTTAATTATAATTATACTTATTTGATGATTTACTTAATTGTTGGAATATTTGTGGTGCGTGAGTCTTTGAGTTAGGGACATGATAAGATTATTATAGATGAATAGAATAATTTAGAATTATTTAATTATGTAAAATTATATGTTATTGAGAATGTAATAGTAATAGAAGGGTGTGGTGAGAATGTAGTAGCTTGGTAACATAATTTAGAATTAATTAGGATAATTAACATTTTTATTATTATTATTAGAAATAAATAGAGAAATTGACAAAAATAAAAATTGAGTCAATTGTGTGAATTGAGGAAAGTTTGTGGTAAGAGGAGAGGAGCTAAAATTAATTTGGACAATAGTAATAATTAGGCAAATATAACGAGGTTACTATATATTCTAAAAGTTAGGAAAATTAGGTTTTTAGATAAACCATTTGACATTATGTAGAATTGGAGAACAAAAGAGGAAAAGACAAGGTTGACTGGAGGTAGAAGAAGAGAAATTCAAGAGAGATAGCTTTGCTTTCTGGGAATTCAGGTTAGGGTGGGAATTTGGTTTAATAATAGGGATATGATGAAGGATAGAGTTGAGAGGTGCCCTTAGTCTCCATTAGGGCTTGTGTGTTCTTGATTAGATGATAAAAGATGATGAATTTGTTTTCGTATATGTTGATTTAATTGGTAAAGATATATGGTGTATGTGTCAATCAAATTATATTGTTGTGTGATTGTATTTCTTGAGTTTTAGAGTGAGATTTAGTTGTCCATAGGTGTGAATCTAAATGACTAATCCATGAGAAATTTAGAAGGTTTATAATCAATAGAATACATTAGGTGTAATGGTAGTAATAGACCATGGATCAAAGTGTTTTAGAGGTTGCAATTAGAACCGATAGTGAACTGAACGACTTGAAATTGGAGGATACTGGTATGTGACATCGAAAACAAAGCTTTGAAAGATATACTGATGAAAATCCGTTGCACCAAGGCAAGAATCAATTATCATGCTTTTAATATAATTTTTTGGTCTGGGAGTTGATGACAATCAGTTGTCATCTAGTAAAAATGGATTGTCGCCACTGGCGGAGCCAGCGTCCGGCCAGCTAGGGCAGCTGCCCAGGCTCGGCCGCCCCGGTGAGGTACGTTGTTGTTGTTGGCTGGGTTGCGGATTCGCGGTTTGAGTTTCATTGAATCGTTGTTGTGATGCTACAAGGTCGTCGTCGTCGATCCTGGTGATCTGGAGGAGGCCACTTGCTGCTGAAAACGTGGTGGTCGCAGGTGTTGCTCGGTTGTTGAAGAGCAGTGGCTGGGGCGGCGGAATCGAGGTGTGAAGGGAGTTCCGGAGCTGAATCGGTTACAATGCTCTCGTTTTCTTGTTCTTCCTTCCCTTATGTGATGTAGCTGCGAGAATTGGACCAATGATGTGGCAATTGTTCAATTGAATACGGTAGTACTTTGAAAAGCAAGAAATGAAGATTGTGAAACTGTTACTATAATATAATTGAAAACGCAACCTCACAGAATCATCATTGATTTAATAGATTAAAATAAAAAACAAAAAAGATAAAATAAAATTGAGGGCCTCGTATAAAAATCCTCGGCCAAAAAACAGTTTTGAAAAAGTGTGTAAAAAGGTTCCAACCATTGAAATGTGAAAGTGAATGATTGTGTATTTTTCTTAGGCAGTTGTCTAATAAAATCAACAATTCTAGAATAAAGTTTTGTGAATGATTGTGAAATTATGGATGTCTAAAACTATGAAAACATTGTCCTATTTATAAACGGTCAAAATTAGGTTAAATGGCGAAAAGAGAATAAAATAAACCAGATATTTCTTAATCAGCGAGTTGATCCATCAGAATTAATAATTATTTTTAAATTATTTATAAACATGATTTTTGTGATTTTAAAAATAATTAGAAAATAGAAATAGTTAGTATCAAATAAACAAAAACAAAAAAATATCCCAAAGTGCATCAAGTGAGATTTGAACTATTGGCCATATGCTTCCAAACTATGCTTCCTTATCAATTGTGCTATGTTTATTTATTTGAAATAAAAAGTCAATTGAAAGTATATGAAGACGAACAATTATTTACTATTTAAAAATACAAATAATTTGAAATAAATTATTATATTTTTAAATTAACTTGAAAACGAATATTTAGAAAACCCCAAAATATCAGTGTAAACCAAGAGAATTTTATAAAACTCCAAGTTTGAAAATAATTTTGACCGTAGCACCAAGGCGGGTAAATTTGGGGTATGACATCGGGGTGCACCATACCTAAAATGTTCAAAAAACATGAAAAATTCTGTTAAAACAAAGTTCTATTTCTGTAACAGACTTTATTTTGCAAGTGCACTTGCGAATTTTTGTTGGTGGACTTCGCAAGTGCATTTGCGAAGTGACATTTTTTAGAAAATGGTCAGGTATTGGAGAGGATTAATTTTTACCTATGTTCCAAGGAAGCTCAAGAGGAGGTACTTTCGTTTAAGAAATGTTCTAGTTCAGTGATTTTAGAATTTTCATCTGAGCTGTAAAAATATCATTTGAGGAAATTTATTGGGAGAATGTATGTAGTTGCTCCTTGCAGTTATAGAAATTGAGTTTAAGAAATGAGAAAACTTACTGAAGGAACTATATTTTGTTTATACATATGATATGATTTTTATGTCACTGATTAATCTCTGTGAGTTAATTGATCAAGTGATTTTGTGCTCTTGTGTAAATTAGGTTTGATTTGGTCATTACTGTGAATGGAAAGAAGGAGAAAATAGCTTCAGGTTTGTTCAACCCCTTTCACTGCCACTTGAAGGTTGCTCAAGATCAAATGGCGAAGGTTGGTTATTCAATTGTTCTTGTGCCTGAGCACGAAAGCGATGCCACGTGGTTTTCCAGAGGAACTATTGAAAGGTATGGCTTGTTATCATAATTTTTTATTTGTTGATAACTTAGATTGGCATATCTTGGAATCATTGTTGTTAAATAGCAGTTATAGCTATTGTACTATAGTGTAGTGGAATTTGATCACATCCCTATTGTTTTTTGTTATGCTACTTAGTATAATATGTTCTCAAATAGTGGCTCTACAACATTGTAGCATACCAGAATTTTAACAAACCACCACTTCGCCGATCTGCATTTGACAACATTATTTGAAATTTGAATTGATAGCGGTGTTTTTAGGCAGTACTTAATTTCACACAAATGAGCGTGTTGAACTAATTTTCTCGGCTTTTATAGGTTTGTTCATTTTGTGAGCACACCTGAAATACTGTAACATGTATATATTATAGAATCCGAAATTTTAACATGTATATATTATAAAATCCGAAATCTTACAAATTGAATAGGTAATTGCAATTCAAGGAAATAATTCCTTTGGGATTAGCATTGTACTGTCTTGGTAGAAAATTATGAAGTCAATGAAAACTTGCCCAGGCTTCATAATTTTCCTGGCTCCTCCACTGATTGTCGCTGTAGTATTTTGGGAAATTTTTTTATTTTCGAGACTGTAAAATACCTTGACGGTTCACCTCATAACTTTGTAACCGCGTATCCAAATGATATGTCGTTTGAAGTGTTAGGAAGTTAACACTCAGAGCTATAACATAATAGTGATAAGTTAAATGTTTAAATATTATTTCTATACCTACTATGTTGATGAAGTTATTGGTTTATATGTTGGTTAATGAATTGTTGCATTGTTGTGATAATGTTGTATGATAATGAAGTTGTTATGTTGATAATGTTATGATGATATTGTTAAGATGGTAATGATGTGATGTTGATGATGTTATTATGATATGATGTTGATGATGTTGTTATGATGTGAGGTTGCTGTGTGATAATGATGTTGTTATGCTGATAATGTTATGATAATATCGTTAAGATGTTGATCATGTCGCGATGATGTGTTGTTGATGATGTTACTATGATGTGATGTTAATGGTGTTGTTATAATGTGATATCGATGATGTTGTCATGATAATGTTGTTAATAATGATGCATGTCCTAATATATATATGATATGTTTATGGTGATTATGTTGTTGGTGGCTGTTTACCTTGGGGTTTTGGTAAACAACCGCTGATCCTCCAAATGGTTACTTATTTGGTTACTCGCAGGATCGATCAGATTGATCCTATGGACATAGGTTGATTTTGAAGTTTGATTAAGTTGGATAAGGCTTTAAATAAAAGGTTTCAAGTAAATTGCATAAAGGAAAGGCTTGGTAAAATAAACAAGGCTTTAAAGTAAAGGTTCGACAGGAATTTAAAGGAGAAAAGCAAGTAAAATGCTGGAAAAGTAAATGACTTTAATTGATAAAATTGGTGTTTCACACATACATTTCTCAACAATTCTTTCGCTCACACTGGGTACTTGAATCTAAATGAGTGACTATGTATATAATTGTGAACACACGCGAGAAACTACATGTCTACTCCTATTTATACTAAAACATTCCAAGTAACCGTCGGGCAGTTACACTGCTTCGAGATCAAGCCACTTGGCACGTTCTCCATGCTCGACGCTCCAGATCCTTGCACGTTTGCACGTAGTAACTGCTGGAAACCGTTTTCCCTCCAAAGCTTTGAATTTCAAACTGCTCCACTCTGGACCACCGAACACCTTTATCAAAAGACGTCTTCGACGAAAACTCCTTCGACGTCGAAGGCAACCAGCCTTCTTCCTTGGAAGAAATCTTCTAAGTATTTTCCATCTTTCGACGGGCACTTCGACAGGCTTAGCCAGTCGAAAGCATCTTTCAGCTTTTAATGGCTGACACCAATCAAAACAAAGGTGTCGAATTTAGGAGCCAACAAATTGCCCCCCAAGAATGCCTTATTTCGACTCTGAAAGAAAAAGGCATTCTTTGAAAACGCCATTCGACACTTGTCTTTCCACGCTTAGTCACAAGTTAACTTGTGCACTTTTGTTGCTTTTTACCAACTATTGGCAATCCCAAGAAACCATCATTGATTTGATCCTAGGACGTCACTTTCAGTACGGCGTGCAGTACCAAACGTCACTTCAGAATTTGTCATTATGACAAATCCCAAAAACGAGGACGCACGCTGCGTCTCTCTGTTTCTGCAGAAACGGCCAAAACAACAGGATGCTGCCACGCGTCCCACTAATTCCTGCAGCATTAAATGACATTTAATGTCCTCGTTATTGGGGATTTCTCCCACTACTATAAATAGTAGTGAATATCCCCTTGTGGGACTTTTTACGCAAACTAGCCTTCAAACTTCCTTGCTTTCGTACAAGCTTGCTCTCTTTGCAGAAAAACTCTTCCTTTTTCACTTCATCTTCATCCTCAACAATGGCCTCTGCATCTACTGCTCCCAAGGCTAACTCACCAACTGAACAACATGTTAAACCCAAGGTCTTTGTTACTGCTCCGGTAGTGAACTCTACAGGGAAACGAAGGGTTCCTGAACCTTCTGACATCTCCGTTCGCGATGCTTACTCGCGTCACTTGATGATCCCGGTTGGATACTCCAACCAGATCTTCGCAATGTCTGGCCCCATGAACCCAAGCATCTCTGAAGCTCTGAAGATCAAGAGCTATTTCCCCATCGTCGAGAAACTCAAGCCAGTAGCATGCGCCAAGAAGGACGCAGAAGACAACGAAGACCCTACACGCGAAAAAATCGACCTCCGCTTCTTCAACAGAAGTGTTAGGGTCTTCAGGTCTTGCCCTAATCTGACCTCCGACTATGTTGCTTGGCTAACAAAGTTGGAGAAGCATCAAACTCCAGTCTGGAAGGAAATGGGAATCTTCGACCTAGTGATGCTGTCGAAGACAGGCTTAAACTACTCCCCAGAGATGCTTATAGCTTCGCTGTTGTTCTGGGATTACTCTCATTTCACTTTTCATCTTCCATGTGGGATGTTAACCCCCACACTCTTCGACGTAGCAGCTATTACTGGCCTTCGACCAACCGGAGATTACTTCGACCCGGAAGAGATGTCGGAGGACCAAATTGGCTTCTCTGAGACCAAGCCAACATACACCACCTTTATCAACCATTATCACGACAGGTCGACAGACGCAGTGTCGGATGTCGAACACATAGCGTTTCTAGCCTTATGGCTAACTCGCTTTGTGTTTTGTTCGAAGTCTCTACAAGTGACCAAAAAGATGGTCACTCTTGCTACCCAACTGCATCACCGCCAGAACATCTGTCTGGCAGAACTGATTCTGGCCAGTCTTTATGACTCGATCAGCAATGGGGTTACTCTCTTGAAACATATCGAAGATAGGGCCAGTTTGCTACTCGCTGGGCCTTTCTGGCTACTTCAACTGTGGCTCAACGCCACTTTCGAATCTTTCTTACCCAAGAAAATTCAGATAAATGAACAAGCCCCAGCGATAGCTAATAGACGTATCGAAGGAATTAGGCTGGCTCTGCTGACACCTGTGGAAGATGGGCTGGAGTTTCAACAAACCTTCACTAACTTCGTTCTGATGTTCGCTCGAAGGAAGGAATTTGTTTCAACTATGGCTCCATTTGCTCAACGGAGAGTGGGGCCAGCATGGTTCACTAGGCCACATCCAAAGGAGTCGAGTGGTCCCAATGTCGATGAGCACACTGTACTTTGGGAGGCGTTCCTGACACCCAGGATCATGCCTCTTCGATTTAAGAGTTCTAAGACTCATTTGAGTCTGCTTGCCTATCAACCAAATCTGGTATCTCGCCAGTTTGGTATCATCCAAACCCTGCCTTCTCCGATTTTTCAAAGAGAGAAGTCAATGTTGTACTTCTGCAACGATTATACAGAAGAAGCTGCCATCAAGCATATCGGAAGATATGCTGGTCGAACAATCCTCTCGTTGTTTGACTACCAGCTTAATTTCCTTTGCTCACCATCCTTCGAGGAGTGGTGGAGAAGCTATTATGCTGAGTACTTCTTCGACGAGAAGGACTTCATGGCTGAGTTGCAGAAGTCTTTTGTCCTTGTGTTAGATAAAGTCAAGAAATGTAAGTTTTTTTTCTCTCACATTACTTTTTGTCTTTCTCTTCGACTGCTAGCCTGTTAACCTTTCCTTTTGCTTTCAGTTGTTCGAAAGCCTCTAGCCAAGAAGGCTACAGAAGGCCCACAAGGAGGAGGCCCTTCAACAAAACCTCCACCGCCGGCGAAGACTATAGCGCCGGCGAAAACCATAAGCAACCAACAAGGGGAAGGCTCTTCGAGGAAGCCTCCTGCATCGGTAACCAGATTTTCTTCACTTTTCTTCTGGCTTTCGATTTTTTGTTTTCGACGCAATTATTCAATCGAATTCCTGTTGGTTTTCTAGGCCCCTTCGCCCAAGAAAAGGGCAGCATTGGTGGTCGAATCGGGGAGTGATGACGAAAGTGATTCCCCTCCTGCTCCCTTAAAGAGGCGAAAGTTAACGAAGGACGCGTCTGTTCCTGCTCCTGCTCCTGAAGGTCGAACCGTCAGAATAAAGGTCGCTGTGAGAAAGCCTAAGCCACCTGCAGTGATCATCGAGGAGCCAACTGAGGAGGAACTGAACGCTCTTCTTACCAAGCCTGTCGAAAGTGACAATTCCAGCCCTGGGGCTGAAGTTAATCCACAGGTAATCTATTGGACCCTTTTCATAACTTAGGCACAGATACCAGGATTCGATTGTGTCTCTCTCGACATCTGAAGATTTGTCTTCTTTCCCTTTTCAGGACACTACTGAAAGTTCTCCACCAAGGACTTCAGAAACTCTGGAATCTGCTGATCTTAGCAGGCCTCAGGAAAAAGATTTGGGCAATGACGAAGCCCATACTGAGAATGAGGCCAATGCTGAAACAGTGGAGAAAACAACAGAAGAACCTATGGTGGCGGAAACACAACCAGTGGAGGAACAACAACCAGAAACGGTTCAGGTGGTGGATTTGTCGTCAGAAGAGAATCAAGAAGAGAGGGACC